AGAAGGAATTCTCTCAAGCTCCAAAGTCTCTCTAACTTTCTATAGGTTTTATTAAAAAAAATGAACTTATAAGACTTAAGTCTTAAGAAACACTTTATATACCCCCAAACTGGTCAACTTTGATTGTTGTTCAAAATAACTCAAACACCAAAAATTCATAAAAATTATCAAATCTCTAGAATCTCACAACAATTAAATAAGTAATCACAACAACAATTAAATTAATAAAATCAACAAATATTAACAAAATTCCTAGTGTTACACCCACCTTAACCCACACATCTATTTATATGTAATTATTTAAATAAAATACCTTATTTTATAGCAAAATTTTTTAACCTAAATCATAAATTTCATTTTTCTATTTATTTTATTATAATTATTCTATCTTTTATTGATATTTTTAATTATTATTTTAGATAGTTTAATTATTTCTTTTTGGCATATTTTAGTTTGTATAATTAATATTAATAGAGAAAGATAATATTTATATTTGGGTGATAAATATTTACATAAATATAGAGTCTGTAATTCTGATGACGAGATAATCTATCTATTTGTATTTTTTCAAACTTATATTATGTAATTATAAGTTAATTAATGGAGAGAAATGAGATAATCCATAAAGTTTCTAATGATATAAAGTATTCGATGTCAAAGTTTCTAATAAATACATTAACTGATATAATAATTATAAAAATTAGAATTTACGAAAATAGATTTTATTTTATATTCCCTTTTATTAGAAACTTGACAAACTCTCGAGTATTTACACGATGCAGGAATGAAAAATACGATGTCAAGTTTCTAATGAATACATTAACAGTTAAAAAAAATGCGATGCCAACTGATGAGTAAATAGATTTTTATATAACAAATATAGTAAAATTAGAATGTACTATTATATATAAAAAAAGCAAAAATATTGTGGAGTTGTGAAAATATTTTTGAAAACGTTATAGTGACGCATGCATTTAAGATGGTACACCTGTAATCCAAGTTACTGAGGAGAATTGAGAAGGTAGAGGGAGAGTTCCATCGAGAATTGGTGGTTTTAAATTCAACAAAACAACTTGTCCTCTAGTCAACTTCACCACTGGTCCTATTTTCACATGCCCACAGTATCCTTTTTTTTTAGGACACACAACACCACCACTTCCACTCAACTTCTTAAGTACACACACCGTAAAACTAGTCCATCATAAGTAACTCAACGCCACTTTACTTTCCATTCCTCTAAAAGAAAAACAAACAATAAATTATTACACTTTGATCTTGTTTGATGACTCTGGTGGTTTTCAGTTCATCCATCCAAAAGGTGCTTCTATAAAATATTAAGTCTATCGACCAAAATATCTCTTGAATAAATGAAGAAAGTTGTATATTGAGAAGGCCTCCATTTATATGTATGGAGACTCATATATAAAACACTTATCCACTCAGATCATTAATAAGATCCTATTATTTATAGGATGGACAATATAACAATCATAAACATTAAAATTTGTAAACTCATAATAAAATGTGATTTTATGATATCATAACGAGAAATATGAGAATTATATATGTAACATATATTGCATCATTATATATAAGAATGATTATAATTATTAGAATTATTAGGTTTAAGAAATTAAGTTACACTGACCCAATGTATTAGAATAAGACTATTATTGGTTCTCTTAACATTATATGGTTAAGGGTTTTTAGGTGGCAATTCTGATACGAGAACAATAATCATAGTTTATATAACAAAAATTTAAAATTAAAATTAACTTATATATTAAAGTAATTATCTTTTATAAGTGCTTATTAAAAAAATTTAAGATTTATAAAAAAATGGAACAAAATATAAAAAGGAGAAAACTGTTTATTTTAAAAATTAAAAATATTTTATATATAAGCTAAATTTGTAAGTAAACTCTTACATTTTATTTTTTCAAAATATAATTTTTAGAGAAATAATAGTAATATTTTATTTTTGACACTTTGTATTATTAATTAATTTTTAATTTTTATATAAATTTATTTTATTTTTTCTCAATTTTTTAAGAACAACTACGAAAGTACGAATAAGTTTATCTAAAAAATACTGTTAAATTAAATTAGAATTATTTTTTTACGTGATTCACTGTACAACTAACTAAACCCGTAATTAAAAGGGGTAACTTGTTTTCCACTTTTATTCTTGAGTTACCGACTCCTGTCGGTCAATCCCTTTTCCCAGACCCAGTTGTGACTCGTGAGTTGTGTTACCACTCTCCCTATATTTACTCATTTTGTGTCAGTCCTTGCACAACACAATACAGCCAATAATTTTTTTTTATTTTTTATAAATAATGTTTTAATTACTAGTAGTGTATTAAATATTCTTTCAAATCTTTATTTTATTACTATTATTTTTATTTTATAATAAATGTCATCTTATATTTTATATAATTATAATATTTAATAAATAGATAAAATAAAATAATAATTTTATAAAATTATTCTTATTTATTAAAAGTAGCTTAACAAAACAACGATTTTAAAAAATTATTATTAGATATAAAAATAGAAGAAAAAAAAAGATTGATGATACTTAAATTTTTTTTAAAAATAATACTTACTTTAAAATTTATTTTTTTATATACAATACTTATTAGAACAAAGTGTTTAAAAGTTAACACACATTACGTATATTATAATCACATAAATTGGTACAAATAATTTTTTTTTCTTCAAAATTTTGATACTTTTAATTTTTTAGTTTTGTTTCAACACTTTAGTTCTTTTAAAATTTTAGTATATATATTTTCTTTAATTATATCCTTGTGTGATATTGAGTAATTAAGACTAGTTTAAATATAACATTGATATTATTTTTGAGTCAAAAAGAATTAAAAGTTATATATATATATA